CTCCTCCTCCTCCTCCTCCTCCTCCTCCTCCTCCTCCCCGCTCCTCCTCCTCCAACTCCTTCTCCTCCGCCTCCTCCTCCTCCTCTTCCTCCTTCTCCTCCTCTTCCGCCTTCTCCAGTTCAGACCCCCAAGGCCCCATCTCCAAGCGAGGCGAGCGAAGCGAAGCGAAGCGCGGGCGAGGCATCGGCGACGTCGGCGTCGAGACAATCGGGCGACCTCGGCGGGGAGCGAAGCGAGGCGAAGTGCGGGCGAGGCGTCGGCGACGTCGGCGTGGAGACGATCGGGCGACCTCGGCGGGGAGCGAAGCGAAGCGAAGCGCGGGCGAGGCGTCGTCGGCGTGGAGACGATCGGGAAACGATGGTTGGAAGCGAAGCGAAGCGAAGCGCGGGCGAGGCATCGGCGCCGTCGGCACGGATACGATCGGGCGACCTCGGCGGGGAGCGAAGCGAAGCGAAGCGCGGACGAGGCATCGGCGACGTCGGCGTGGAGACGATCGGGCGACCTCGGCGGGGGAGCGAAGCGAGGCGAAGCGCGGGCGAGGCATTGGCGACGTCGGCGCGGAGACGATCGGGCGACCTCGGCGGGGAGGGGGAAGCGGAAGCGAAGCGAAGCGCGGGCGAGACGTCCCGGCGACGTTGGCACCGGAGAGGAGGGACGGTACGGGCGCACCTCAGGAGTCGGGAGCGAAGCGAGGCGAAGGCGAAGCGCGGAAAACGACGGCATCGGCGACGTCGGGCGTGGATACGATCGGGCGACCTCGGCGAGGGAGCGAAAGCGGAAGCAGCAAAGCGCGGGCGAGGCATCGGCCGACGTTGGGCTACAGGAGAGAGGAGGCAAGACGATCGGGCGACCTCGGCGGGGAGCGAAGCGAAGCGAAGCGCGGGCGAGGCATCGGCGACGTCGGCGTGGAGACGATCGGGCGACCTCGGCGGGGAGCGAAGCGAAGCGAAGCGCGGGCGAGGCATCGGCGACGTCGGCGTGGAGACGATCGGGCGACCTCGGCGGGGAGCGAAGCGAAGCGAAGCGCGGGCGAGGCATCGGCGACGTTGGCACGGAGACGATCGGGCGACCTCGGCGGGGAGCGAAGCGAAGCAAGCGCGGGCGAGGCATCGGCGACGTCGGCGCGGAGACGATCGGGCGACCTCGGCGGGGGAGCGAAGCGAAGCGAAAGCCGTAGTCGTGCGTGCTCCTCCGGGGAGCTCGCCCGTGCCCCCACAGGGCATGGCGTGGAGGCCGTGGCCTCGACGAGGAAGACTTTCTGCTCAAGCTTGTGAAACGTATGTCCTCTCAGATGACGAGAGAGAGATCCACCGCCGCTTTACTGTGGAAAATTCCCCCCCCTTCGGCGTTGGTTTCTGACGCCGCGGGGGATCGTTCAGCCTTGAACGATCGGCCGCTTCCGAAACGTCAGATAGCTCAACACCGACCGATTCTGGGCCGCCGCCGGCGCTCCACGTGAAACGCCGGCGGCGGGGTCGCCGCAGGTCGACGCGACGCGAACCCACCGTAGGAGCCACCAGTGGAGCTCGGAAACGATTGCGTGTGGAGCCGCCGCCGTCTGCAGCGAAGAATGTGCCTGACAAGGGGAAGAGGGGAGCACGAGCGAGGGGCGAGGGCCCTCACTCATGCCTGCTCCTCACCTTCCTCCTCCTCCTCCTCACCTTCCTCCTCCTCCTCTCTCTTCCTCTTCCTCTTCCTCCTCCTCCTCCTCTTCCTTTTCCTCCTCCTCCTCCTCTTCCCCTCCTCGTCCTCTTCCTCCTTCCTGCATTCTGCCCTTCCTGCCTTCCGTCCCTTTGTCCTTCCTTCCTCCTCCTTGCCTCCTTCGAGCCTTCCTCCTCCTCCTCCTCCTCCTCCTCCTCGTGCTCCTCGTCCTCCTCCTCCTTCCAATCGTCCTCCTCGTCCTGGAGGAGAAGAAGGAGAAGGAGGAGGAGGAGGAGGACGAGGAGCAGCAGCAAGGAGGAGGGGGAGGGGGGCATGCTCGCGCGGGGAGCAGCAGAAGGGAGGGAGGGAGGATGCAGAAGGTAGGAGAGAGGATGAGAATAAGGAGGAGGAGGAGGAGGAGGAGGAGGAGGAGGAGGAGGCGGACCCAGCTGCCGCCCCCCCGCCCCTACGTCCTACGCTCCTCCATCCCTCCCCCCTCCCCCCCCGTTCCCTCCCTCCATCCATCCTCCCCCTGTTCCCTCCCCTGTTGTTCTCCCCCCCCTCCCTCCATCCATTCCTCCCCCCCCCCGTTCCTCCACCCTCCCCCCCGCCCCTACGGCCCTACGCTCCTCCATCCCTCCCTTCCCCCCGAGCACCCCTGGAGCCGAGCGGCGGCTCGAGGAGGGCGGACGGAGCCCCGCGCCTGCAGGCTGGAACATGGCGCGGCGGCGAGAGAGCACGCGGCGGGCGCGCGCAGCGCCCTGGCCGCCACCGCGCGGCGGGGGGGGGGGCCCCTTCGGCGGGCCGGGGCCGCCCGTGGGAGCTGCGGGGAGGGGAGGAAGGGAGAAAGAACTGCGCACAGCATCATCGTCATTAGTATTATTATTATTATTATTATTATTATTATTATTATTATTATTATTATTAGTATTATTATTATTAATAATACTATTACTATTACTTATTAGTAGTGAATAATATCATTATAGTATTATTATCATTAATCATCATCATCATTCATCAGCATCATCATCATCAGCATCATCATCATCATCATCATCATCATCATCATCATCATCATATCCTCATCCTCATCCTCATCCTCATCCTCATCCTCATCCTCATCCTCATCCTCATCATCATCATCAATCATCATCATCCATCATCTCATCAATCATCATCATCATCATCATCATCGTCATCATCATCATCATCATCATGATCATCATCATCGTCATCATCGTCATCATCATCATCATCATCATCATCATCATCATCATCATCATCATCATCGTGATCATCACAGCATCATCATCACCGTCAGCAGAAGCATCATCATCATCATCATCAGCATCATCATCATCATCATCGTCATCCTCATTCTCATCCTCAGCATCATCATCATCACATCAGCATCATCATCATTACCATCAGCATCATCGTAATCACCATCATCATCATCATCAGCAGCAACATCACCATCAGCATCATCATCATCAGCATCATCATCATCGGCATCGCATCATCATCAACATCAGCATCATCATCAACAGCATCATCATCATCATCAGCATCATCATCATCAGCATCATAATCGCGATCATGATCATCATCATCATCAGCAGCTGCATCATCAGCATCATCATCATCAGCAGCAGCATCATCATCAGCAGCAGCAGAATCATCATCATCATCATTATCATCATCATTATTATCATCATCGTCATCATCAGCATCACCACCACATCAGCATCATCAGTACCATCAGCATCATCGTAATCACCATCATCATCATCAGCATCATCATCACCATCAGCATCATCATCATCAGCAGCAGCACCATCATCATCGTTGTCATCATCGTCAGCAGCAACATCAGCATCATAATCATCATCATCCTCATCATCACCACCATCGTTATCAGAATCATCATCGTCACCATCACAATCAGCGTCGCCATGATCATCAGCAGCAGCATCCACATCAGCATCATCATCACCATCACCATCCGCATCAGCAGCATCGTCATTATCATCATCAGCATCATCATAACCATCATTAGCATCAGCATTAGCATCAGCAGTATCAGCATCATCATCAGCAGCAGCATCCTTAGCATCAGAAGCAGCATCCGTATAAGCATCATCACCATCAGCATCAGCACAATCATCATTAAGTTCAGCATCATCAGTATCAGCAGCATTATCAGCATCAGCATCATCATCAGCAACATCAGCATCATCATCAGCATCATCAGCATCATCAGCATCATCATCATTACCATGTGTATCGCCATACTCATCAGCAGTAGCATCATCACAAGATCATCACCATCATCAATCGCATCATAATCATCACCATCGTCAGCACCATCGGCATCAGCATCAGCGTGATCAGCATCATCATCATCAGCAACATCAGCATCGTCATCACAAACAGTATCGTCATCATCAGCATTAGCATCATGATCAGCATCAGCATCGGCATCACAAGCAGCATCATCAGCACCATGATCATCAGTGTCAGCGTCATCAGCATCATCATCATCAGCAACATCATCGTCACAAACAGCGACATCATCAGCATCATCAGCATCTGCAGCATCATCATCATTATCATCTTCCTCACAAGCATCATGATCACTAGCATCAACATCACAAGCAGCATCATCATAAGTCTGATCATCATCAATACCAGCGTCATCATCATCAGCATCAGCCGCATCATCATCACAAGCAGCATCATCATCAACATCATCAACATCATCAACATCATCATCACACAAGCAACATAATCAGCATCAGCATCATCATCAGCATCATCAGCATCATCAGCATCGTCCTTATCATCATCACCATAATGATCATGATCATCATCAGCATGATCGTCAGCATCAGCATCGTCGTCGTCATCATTAGCATCGTCCGCATCATCAGCAGCATCAACATCATCAGAACCGCCGTCGTCGTCATCATTATCCTCAACAGCAGCATCATCATCAGCACCGTCGTCATCATCATAATCCTCAACAGCAGCAGCAACATCATCGTCATCGTCATCATCATCACCACCACCAACACCATCATCATCACCAACAGCATCAGCAACATCACCACAATCACTATCATCACAACCACCACTAACACCCTCATCTCCACAATCGTGCCGCAACCAGTGGCGCGGTCCCTTTACAGGGCAACCCATGGCGCTGCGGCGCACCTCGTGGATCGGGCAACCCGTGGCGCAACATATGGAACAACTTACAGCGCGACCCATGACTGGCGCAAACAGTGGCGCAACCCATGGCGTCACCCGTGGATGGCGCATGGCACGGAGCGCGCATCTCACGGCGAAACCCATTCATGGCGCAGCCGATGGATGACGCAACATGTGACGCAACCCATGGATCGCGGAACCCATGGCGCGCCACATTGGCGGCACACACCCATTGTGCTCGCCGCTTGGGCTGGCGGTCCCCCCCCCAAACGACGAGCTGTCCTGTGTTTACTTTCTCATTGTACTACCGACCCGCTGACGTTGCTGAGCAAACACCGCACCAACTCCCGGCAAGGCAACGACGTTGTCAATGCCCTTTCCAGGCGCCCTGGCAACGCCGCCCAGCACTGCTCGCTGCGCTTCCCATCAGGGCAAGATTGGGTTGTCCAGCGGCTTCTTCCAATGAGTAAGGTACCGCGCGGTGTGTACGAATATTTCGCCATTCACGGCGTGGACCATGAAGTCTGACATGTTGATCGACCCGAGTGCTGTCGACCTCACCTTTGTATGGACTTCGCGCCATGGGCTGCTCTCTGGAGACCCTGGGTACCAGATCGAGAACCCAGAGGGTACTCAACTTTGAGCGCCCACGCCAACGTCACAGCCGCGTCCAGCCGGAGCGAACCTGCATCATCTCTGTAAGAAATTGGGAACCGCGCGAACATACACTGGGCCCTGCCCCTCCGAACCTCGCAGAAACGCCACACGACAAAATGTAGTACATAATGTTCTGACCATTCTCTGGGCGACAGATGTTGAAAACAATTAGCCTGGCAAAGGATCCAACCATGCGCAAATGTGAACACCGCAATTATAATGATCGTCTTCGGTGGCGCTCCCTGTGGGGCCACGAACCTCGTGAGGAGCGTGCCGGACATGGGGGGAGCGGACGCATGGGAAAGTCGCCACTGGGGCCTTGGGTGGAATTCCCTATGGGGCCACGAATTGTGTGAGGGCGTGCCACAACGGGTGATAATGACGGCAATGATGTTGAAGAACCCGTAGACACATGAAGAAGGACGGCGATGACAATAGATCAGGTGGCCGCCCGCCCCCTTTAATAAGAAGGGCCAAAGTAAACCGCGCAACTATTGAAAAAAGTCTCAAGCCTGCTGGAACACCCTGGAGGCGGCCAAGGGGTCCGACCCTCCGCAACCCAGAAAGAAATTACGCAGTCAACAGAAGGGGGGGGGGAAATTCGTTGGAAGTCGTTCCCGAAGAGCTTCCCTGGGACGCCGACCCCCCGGCCCCCCTCCCACCTCCCCCCGTTGGTATCGGCGTGATTCGCGCTGGCGCCGTCTGGGAACGGCTAGGGGCAGCCGACTCCCAGACGCAACCGGCGCGAATCGTGACGTTGCCGGCCCCCTCCCCCGCCCTACCCCCAAACAGTGCGTCTCTAGCAATATGCGTTGGGCAAACAACGAGGAGCGGCCTATGACATTTGCAAATGAGTTGACAATTCCATCCAATGACGACGGCAAAACCAATGACGGCGCCGATGTTGAGCACGCCCGCCGATAACGATGACGATGTCCTCGCGTCGGCGATGAATGTGTTTGAGTTCGACATGCGCGCGCGGCCGACGCGCGCGACTGGCCCGCGTGAGAATATTTGACACGGATCGTGCCCGCCACCCCCGAACGCGCGCAAGGGCGTTCGAATGAGCTCAACATGCGGCGCAATGGGCCCGTTTGGAAACATGCCCCCCCCCCCAAAAAAAAGCAATCGCAGCGGACGCAGGATGTTTTAGGAAAGTCTTTGTTGGGAAACCATGTGTTTGTTAAAAAATCTGGGCAGTCGTCTTTGAAATCCTTACGCAACTCAAGGTATTAGAATGATTTCGGCATGCGCGAGCGACGACACGCGCGTGTGCAAATCGTCGCGTTTGTTGGGAGGTGCTCATGAACACCGCTGCTTTGTTTTTTACGATTTTTACGAATGCGGGCGCAGAATATCTGCAGAGGGTGAAAAGGGGCGAACTCCGGCCCGGCTGGGATGGTGTGGATTCATACTCCGGATGCGCAGTGGGGCAGAATGTAAATTGCAATTGCGAAAACGTGGATCGTCAACCCCGGGGGGAGATGGGGGAGATTCTCATATTTCCTTAGGAGAACTCAACTATGCTCGCAGTGAACGGTCATTCCACTGTACGCGCAATCATCCCACCGACCCACCCGCAATTTTGGTTCCGCAAAACCCATGTGACGGCGATTGCGAAGGGTGTTTGGCGTTGGCTGGTGCATCTCTGCGGCCGCGCTAGCCCGCGCTTGCTCGCGCGCGCAACGGCCAGCTAGTGCGGCGCGACCGACGCGGCCGCGGTGGCGCTGACCGCTGGGCACATACCAGCGGGCAGTTCATTGCGAGTAGGTGACTTCGGCGGGCGCGGTATCATGGCGACGCCGACAACGATAGCCACGATGATGGAAGTAGCGATGATGGTGACGATGGTGGCGATGACGACTTCAAGGCACCAATGACGGCGCCAATGTTGATCACGCTCGCCGATAAAGATGACGATGTCCTGGCATCGGTGGTGAAGGTTTTGAAGGAATTCGGCATGCGCGCGCAGCCGACGCGCTCGAAGTTTCCAGCGTAATAATATTTGACTCGGATCGTGCCCCCCCCAGCACGCGCGCAAGGGCGTTCGAATGAGTTCAACATGCGGCGCGAGAGGCCCGCTTGGCAGAACTGGATGGCAATGTTGAAAAGCATATGGTTCTTAAGAATTCGCAAGAGCGCACGCGCAGGCTTGGTTTGAAAACCTGTGTTGCAAAATCATATGTTTGTACAGATTGTCTGGGCACTCGCTTTCGAAATCCGTACGAAACCTACCGTTCTTGACAGAATTCGGCATGCGGACGCGGCGACGCGCGCGTGCACTTCGTCCCGTCGTTTTGCAGAACAGGTTGTTGTGACAGCACGCGCGCAAGGGCGTTCGAACGATTTCGACATGCGTGCGCGACAGGCCCTATTGACAGCTTGTTAAAAAATGTGGAAAAAAGGATGTTTGCGTGAAGAATCTGCAAAAGCGCGAGCACAAATCTTTTGTTAGAAATCCGTGTTGCGACCCCATGTGATTGTTTACCCGTTTGCGTGACGTTCGATGCTGAAATCCTTACAACACCAAGGTTTTTGTGTCAAAGAGTTTCGGCACGCGCGAGTGACGACACGCGAGTTTGCACTTCGTCCCATATGTTGCAATGGGTTCGTGAAAACTGATGATTTGTGATAAACGAGTGCGCGCGCAAAAGATCTGTTGCATATGAAGAGGGGGACACCAGCCTGCATGGGAGGGTATGAGTTCATACCTTGGATGGAAGATGGGGCAGAACCATGTAAATTGCACATCCCCAGGGGGCCCGATAAATCCAGGGGGGGTAGATCCTAATACTCTCTTAGAAAGGAGAGTATACGCGGTGCAATACATGTGGTGCGAACTACGCTGCGCAATCTCGGCGGCAACGAGGCGGCGACGGGGCAGCGACGGCGGGCCAATAGCCGCCACGTGGCTCAGTGTGGAGCCCGAATTGCTTCGCCGATGCATCGGCGATGCGTCGCGATCCTCCGACCCCCGTCCACTCCGACCCCGTCCAGGAGGCCCAGGAACATGCTGCAGAAGCAAACGGGTCGGGGAGCAGCCGGGCGAGAACTCGCTTGCGGGTGGCGCGGCGGGAGCAGGTAAGACGAAGCCAGGACGAAGACAACATCGGGTGAGGATACAGCCAACACGCTCGGCCCATCCTTAGAGACTATCGCTGGCCAACCTTGTTCGAAAAGTCGTCTTGGCCCTTCAGGGCCCTTGCATCCTTACAGCGCATCCTTATGATACGGGTTGACTGTAAACCGGGAATATCTGACGTCCGGCGGCTCTGCCGGGTGTCTCGAGCGCCGCGGCCTTCTCAGTGCTCTCTAGAACGCTCTGAGAGCGTCCCAGAACGCTCTGGAACGGACTTCTCTTCGTCCTGGCCCCGTCCGATTGTGGCCAGTCAGGCCCTCCCCCACTCCGGGAAATGGAGGAGGAAGAGGGAGGAAAATATACTCCGCGTGTCCCTTACCTTTCCCGTGGAACGCTCTGAGAGCGTCCCAGAGCGCTCTGGAGCGGACTTCTCCTCGTCCTGGCCCCGTCCGACTGGCCAGTCCAGCCCTCCCCCAATCTGGGAAATGGAGGAGGGAGGGAAAAACAGTGCGGGCGCGGCCGCAAGAAACCCTCGCAAAACTTAACCCTGAGAACCCGCACGCGAAGTGCACCTGAGGGGAATACCTGGAGCACCCTGAACGCGGCCGCTCCCTCCTCGGCTGCGGAAGCCACCGCGCAGCGAGGAAACCCTGGATATCCTGACGAAACGCAGATGGTTTCTTGAGGCGCGCCCCCACTGCATACCCCGCTGGTCCTCCACCTGCCCCGTGGAGCGCTCCGAGCGCGTCCCGGAGCGCTCCGGAGAGGACCTCTCCCCGCCCTGGCCCCGTCCGCGCGGGGCTCGCCTCCGCCAGCCCCGAGCGAGCGCGTGGGCAGGGCGGCCGCGGCTTCGATCAGGCGGGCACCGGCTCCCTGGCAGGCGGCGCGGGGCTCCCGCTGCTCTGCGACCGTCCCGGCAGTCCTGTAGTCCTACCACGACATGTTCTCAGAACCCAAACATGTTCGAAGAGCAAACACAATGTCCTTAGAACATGAGCCCGATGGGTTAAAACAAAACAGGCTCCGCCAGAAGTGTTCTAAGAACATTTCGTGGGAAACACACAAGTTGATTAGAACATTGTTTGGTTGGACTATAGGCACGCCAGGACGCTTCGCCAGTGCTTGACCGCTGCTCTGCGACCGCGTGAACGACGATCGGAAGCGGGTCTTACTGAAGGGGCCCAGGGACACACAGATGCATACACACACACACACACAAATCCAAGGGTTCCCCATATTCTCCGATGTTTCCTGGATTTTCGTCTTCCCCCCCACTTCCCATGTTTTCACATACCTTCCTGGGGATCGACGGTTAATTGTGTCTGTGTGTTTTTCTCCTCCTGATGAGCAACGATCAGAAGCGGGTCTTACGCGAGATGGCACAGCGACCTTACGCCGCCGCTTGCGCGGGCCGGCAGCGCGGCACGCCACATTGGGAGCGAGGGCGCTTGCGCGCGAGCTTGCGCGGGCAGCTTGCGCGCGAACGTCGGCAAAGACGAAATCGTTTTTGTTGCTTGCGTCGCTCCCTTGAAGATTGTTTTTTGTTGTTTCCAGTAACAGTCATGACTCCTTACCCAGAGTAGGGCGGGTGGGTGGGGCCCAGAGCAGCAACTGGGCCACGACAAACTCGGCCAGGCTGAACTAGGCCAGGTAAAAACTCGGCCAGGCTGAACTCAGCCAGCTGACCTCGGCCAGTGTGAGCTCGGCCAGGCTGAACTAGGCCCAGGCCGAGTTCAGCCTGGCCGAGTTCAGCCGGCCGAGCTCAGCCTGGCTGAGCTTCGCCTGGCCGAATATTTCCCCTGTCGCCAGGGAACTGTGACGCTTGGGCAGGGTGGGGCACGTCTGGGCGGGGGGGGCGCCGCGACCGCCATAGTACGCGCGCGACAGCCAGCACGGGGGGGGGCGTCCAGGCCCCCCCCCGTTGCGTGCGATCGTTACCGTCACCCGCGGGGGTCAGCGACGAGCGCGGACGTCCTCGCGCCGCCATGGGTGGCCAGGGGCTCGCGCAACGGCTGGGCATCCGCGGCCAAGGGCCATGACGCGGTGCACGCACCGAGCCCTGGCGCTTCGACCCGGCGCGCTCCACCGTCCCCCGCTGCGCTGGCGATCGCGCGCCCGCGTTCGAGTGGCTGGCACGCCACAGGGCTGGTGCGAAGAAGGAGCGTCACCTGCGGCCGAACGAGAGGGACTGTGAGCAGCTGCTGCAGACGGGTCGACGACGCAGCAGAAGCGGCAGCGGCACGCAGCACCTGAGCGGCAGCAAAGAGCCAATGTGACTCAGAAAGATAGACCACTAGTAGTGGTAGTGGTAGTGGTAGTGGTAGTGGTAGTGGTAGTGGTAGTGATAGTGGTAGTGGTAGTGGTAGTGGTAGTGGTAGTGGTAGTGGTAGTGGTAGTGGTAGTGGTAGTGGTAGTGGTAGTGGTAGTGGTAGTGGTAGTGGTAGTGGTAGTGGTAGTGGTAGTGGTAGTGGTAGTGGTAGTGGTAGTGGTAGTGGTAGTGGTAGTGGTAGTGGTAGTGGTAGTGGTAGTGGTAGTGGTAGTAGTAGTAGTAGTAGTAGTAGTAGTAGTAGTAGTAGTAGTAGTAGTAGTAGTAGTAGTAGTAGTAGTAGTAGTAGTAGTAGTAGTAGTAGTAGTAGTAGTAGTAGTAGTAGTAGTAGTAGTAGTAGTAGTAGTAGTAGTAGTAGTAGTAGTAGTAGTAGTAGTAGTAGTAGTAGTAGTAGTAGTAGTAGTAGTAGTAGTAGTAGTAGTAGTAGTAGTAGTAGTAGTAGTAGTAGTAGTAGCAGTAGCAGTAGTAGTAGTAGTAGTAGTAGTAGTAGTAGCAGTAGTAGTAGTAGTAGTAGTAGTAGTCGTAGTAGTAGTATAGTAGTAGTAAGTAATAGTAGTAGTAGTACTAGTCGTAGTAGCGTAGTAGTAGTAGTAGTAGTAGTAGTAGTAGTAGTAGTAGTCGTAGTAGTAGTAGTAGTAGTAGTAGTCGTAGTAGTAGTAGTAGTAGTAGTAGTTGTAGTAGTAGTAGTAGTAGTAGTAGGTGTGGTAGCACCACTACTACAACTACTCATACTACTACTGCTACTACTGCTACCACTACGACTACTAATACTATTGTAGCTACTACTACTACTACTACTACTACTACTACGACTAGTAATACTACTACTACTACTACGGCTTCTACTAGTAGTAGTAGTAGTAGTAGTACGACTACTACTACTACGTCTACGACTACTGCTACTACTACTACTACTACTACTACGACGGCTACTACTACTGTTACTACCAATACTACTAATACGACTACGACTACGACTACTACTACTATTACTACTACTACCACGATTATTCTTACCACTACTACTACTACCACTACGAACTGATACCACTCCTCCCTCCTCCTCCTCCTCCTCCTCCTCCTACTACTACTACTACTACTACTACTACTACTATACTACGACTACTACTACTACTACTACGACGACTAATACTACTACTTTAACCACTACTACTGACGTACCTACTACTACTACTACTACTACCTAACTACTACTACTACTACTACTACTACTACTACTACTACTACTATCACTACTACAAATAGAACACCGATCATACTAACTTACTACACGACGACTACTACTACTACTACTACGACTGCTAACTACTAAGTAACTGGTACTACCTACTACTACTACTACCACACCACCAACACCACCACACCTACCCCAACACCACTTCTACTACTATTACGACTACTACACTACTACTACTACTACTACTACTATATTACTACTACTACTACTACTACTACTACTACTACTGCTGCTGCACTACTACTACTACTACGCTACTACTACTACTACTACTAACTACTACTACTTACTGCTACTGCTACTGTCTACTGCTACTGCTACGCTACTACTACTACTACTACTACTACTACTACTACTCCTACTACCTACTCTACTACTACTACTCTAGTTTGCTATAGTACTACTACTCCTACTACTACTATCTACGACTACTCACTACTACCTACTACTACTACTACTACTCCAACTACTCCTACTGCTACTCTGCTAACTACTACTGTTCTACTACTACTCCTACTACTACTACTAATAATACTACTACTACTACTACTACTACAACTACTACTACTACTACTACTACTACGACTACGACTACTACTATTACCTCTACTACTACTACTACTGACTACTACTACTACTCTCTGCTACCTCCAACTACTTACTACTACTACGACTACCCTACCACGGCTACTACTACTACGATACTACTCTCCTACTACTGCTACCACTACTACTACTACGACTACGAACTACTACTACTACTTACTACTACTACTACTACTATTACTACTATACTACTACTACTACTACTACTCCTACTGATACCACTACTACTACTACTACTAGTACTAGTACTAGTACTAGTACTAGTACTAGTACTAGTACTAGTACTACTACTACTACTAGTACTAGTACTAGTACTAGTACTACTACTACTACTACTACTACTACTACTACTACTACTACTACGACAACTACTACGACCACGACTGTCTACGACTACGACTACGATTACCACTACTACTACTACTACTACTACTACTACTACTACAACTACTACTACTACTACTACCGACCGACCGACCGACCGACCGACCGACAGACCGACCGACCGACCGACCGACCGACCGACCGACCGACCGACCGACCCACCGACCCACCGACCGACCGACCGACCGACCGACCGACCGACCGACCGACCGACCGGCCGGCCGGCCTTCCTTTCTACCGATCTACCTACCGACCAACCTACCGACCTACCTACTACTAATATGCGCCCCGCTTTGAGGCGCACGTCCGAACCAAGCATATACCTGCGCGCGCGTCGCCCCACGCACACACATAGTGCAATTATGCGTGGGTGATGCGGGGCCAACGCAGCAGCTGCGGCAGCGGCAGCGGCAGCAGCATCGGCAGCGTCCAGCGCAAACCCAGCCTTGGGGAGCCGTCAGGATCGAAGCCACGCACCTCTCAGTGGGGGAGGGGCGATGGGGGGCGGAGGGGGAGGCGGGTGTGGGAGGCGGGATGTGAGGAGGGGGCAAGGAGGTGGATGGACGAGGTGGATGGAGAACGGTGCGGGCAGGGAGTGGGGAGGAGGGGGACAAACGATGGAGGCGGAGGGAGGATTGTACATGGCAAGCGCCAACGGAAACTGCGCGTAGAATCGCAAGTGCCAACAACTGGTTGGTCGTCAAGTGGCGCCCCAGGAGGAGGCCCGAGAAGGCCCAAAAATGCCGAAAGAACACGGTCCTGAATCCTCGATCCTGCATCCGCTGAAGGTCCTCCTTGACTTGCTTTGACAGTACTGCAAGCGAACATCGAATGTTATCGCGTAAGAGGCCTCGAACTGCTGTCATGGTATATGCCTCCTCGTGCGCCTTGGCATGAAAGAAATAGTATTAAAAAACGGATCCTGGACCAAGGGGCTTTCCCGGGGACCAGCTTGTCCGTCTTGAGTCCGATCCGCCGACCCTTGCGGGGTCACAAGGCATGTGAGATATTTGGTGTTCGCGAACCTGGAGGGGGCAGCCTTATTAGGCAGCCGCTCCACACTGACTAGAATCGACGTCCTGTTGTACGAAGGATGGCCCCGAACAAGCCCAGAAAGCGCCGCGGGGCCCTCTGGCCACAGCAACGGCCCAGCACGTCCAAGTGCAATCAGACTACGATGCCGAAGAGCTAATCTTGACCATGGCACGTCAGACCCCCAAGCCCCCCACTCCCCCTTTAGAAGATTATCTTCTGCTCCTGCTTGCCGAGCTGCCGTTCCACATGAACACACATACATACATATAAATGCGGTTTAGGTGTACGACATGGATGCCTAAGATCAGTTGCATACGTGCATGTGTACGTTAGATGTGATTATGTGCTCATGTTACTGTAGGTTTATATGAATATGAATGCGTGTATGGATATGGATACGGAAATGCATGCGTATAAATATATGTGTATGTTGATACGTATGCGTGTGCATGTGTATGCGAAGTGTCCGTGTGTGTGATCATGTGTACGCAATTGTACAATTGTACATGTGCGTAGGCCCGTGCATGCCTATACGTATGCCCATGTATTCATACACGAACACATAATGTGTGTGCAGCTGTGTTTGTACAGCTGCATGTGTGTGTGCACGTCTACATGTATATGTTCAGGTACGCACTCATGCACGCATTGCTTGCAACGGTAAATGTGCCACTGTGCATCTGCATTGTTAGGTGTGCGTGCATGGCACTGCACAGGAGACCGAGAGACACCACACCTAACCTGGACCAGCGCGACGGCACGAGACGGGAAGGCACCCGGCACCAGGCGCCCTTCAACCGCGGGAGCCCCTCGAGGCTCGAGGCCGCGGCACCTCCCCCCCCGAGCCGGTCTTCGCCCAGCCGTTTCCCCACGGCCCCGGGTGCCCGAGGACGCCTCCCGGGGGCCGAAGGCCACGGAGCACCTCCGCCGGGGGTTGTCCAGGAGCGCCTCCGGCGGGGGCCCGGAGAGCGAGGAGCACCGCCGCCGAAGGCCGAGGAGCACCTCCCCGGGAGACGGCCGAGCTGCTGCAGCAGTGCCCTCTCCACGACTCCACGGGTTCCAGCGGCCTCGGATCCCTGCAGAGCTGGCGAGACGCTCGCGTCCCACGCGCGCCTCCCACACCGTGCAGGAAGGCAGCCCCCCCGAGAAGGCCTCCTGCATAGCAGACGACGCACCTGTCACTGAACCCTTCCAGACCCTTCGATCCTGGCAACGCCAAAAAAACAACCCACGGATGTTGTGTGTTCGGCCTTTGGAGGCCCATTCCCAGCCCCAGGACCGCCACGAGCCGACTCGGGATGAAACTCTGGCCCTGGGGAAGGAGCCGGCATCCCCGGGGGCCCATGCCAAATGAAAATCGTGACGTCGGAGGCTGGAGGAGAAGGGACTTGCAAAACAACAGCCGAACCGCTCGCCAAAGTACTTAAGCGGTTGGTCCAACAAATTCGGCGGATGTGGCAAAAGCCTGTGGAAAAAAAGCGGCACCAGCTAACAAAGTGTAGGACATCTTTCCTCCAGAATGCCTTGTCTTCATGACGACCCTCCTTCCCCGAATGACATCCCTCCCTCCCCCGAAGGCCATCCAGGGTCATTACAATCAAAGACCGACTGAACCGACAACAAAACCGAACCCGACCGAAACCAACAGGCCACAGGCACCCTCGAAGGGCGTAACGACACAGCAACGACACCGCAACTGACCGAACCGAACCGAACCGACCGTTGCCGACTGCGACGCAGTCGAGCTGACGGAACCGCGCACACACTCTTGCCGTCGCTCGGACGTCCATTTCCCGTGCACGTTTCGGTTTCGTGCGTGCTTTTTGTTGCTCGATGGTCCAGGATGGTCCTCGATGGTTCTCGCCGAGAAAAAATGCACACGTCCGAGCGATGCCAAGCACTCCTCCCCGTTCCCGATGCCGCGGGGCCCGGAATCGGTTCCTCAGGAGCCGCAAGTGGGGAAAAACCTGCGCCTCAAGGAGGCCTGGGTCCTCCCCGTCCTCCTCCTCCCCCCCCCTCCCTTGGGCGACACCCCCCCCTCCTCCTCTTCCTCCTCCTCCTCCTCCTCCTCCTCTCTCCTCCTCCTCCTCCTCCTCCTCCTCCTCCTCCTCCCTCTTCCTCCTCCCTCCTCCTCCTCCTCCTCCTCTCCTCTCCTCCTCCTCCTCCTCCTCCTCCTCCTCCTCCTCCTCCTCCTGCTCCTCCATCCCTGCTCCTTATGAATGACTCCCTGTCGCACCACCAAACGTGACGGTAGGGCGGGTCAGGCGTTTCGCCGGATACTTCCTCACCACTTTTGATCCTGAAACTTGAATTCTGCAACAACTTCATGGATGGAAGACGGGTGAGCTTCTAAATGTGGTTTTCGCCTGAGCACCGCGCATTCGTCTGAAAACAGGACAGCAATATCGAGAATGAATGGCGGGTGCCTGTCAAACGTTTGCAGCAGCTTCAAGGATGGAGGGCGAGTAGTTCTCTAAATGTGGTTATCGCTTGGGCACCGCGCACATTGGTCTCCAAGTTTGCAAGATGCTGAAACATGGGGGCGGTCCCTTTTCAAAATGTGAATATCGCCTTCACGCCGCGCACATTCGCCTTTATTGTTAACAAACAACATCCGGGATGCAGAGCGGGTCTGTTTCGAATGATTTCCCGCCTGAGCGAAGCGCGCATTCGTTCTAAATGTTCGAAGCAGCCTCAAGGCTTCGGATGGCTGGACTCCGGGGAATTACGTTCTGGCACGACTGAAGGTCTCAAGGACGCAGCAGCCACGTTGATTCGCGGCGTTGACGTCCCAACTATGGTCGTTTGGAACGGTTTGGGAGTGTCAAGGCGCACCCCACCAGGTTGAGCCGCGGCGCTGACGTCCCACGAACTGCGTCCTGAAACAACTCTGCATTCCCAAACGGTCGTGTTCCATTGGGGCACTACCGCAATGAACATAAATTCTTGTGGGGACCTATGACGAGAAAATTTGAATGAACGATGTTTTGCAATATCGTTGATGCACGGTGGGTTCACACTGGTTCTCCTCCTCCTCCTCTTCCTCCTCCATTTCTTTTCCTGCTACAATGACTTCTCCTTGTCGCACCCTGAGGCCAGTTTCTAGGGCGGGCCGGGCGTTTCGCCTGAGACTTCCCCACCATTAAAAACTCGGAAGCTTCAACAATGGCAATCACCTCACAGATGGAGGGCGGGTGGCTTTCAAACTGTGGCTCTCGCGCTAGCACCGCGCACATTCGTTTAAATAACTTACAAGAACTTCAAGGATTGAGAGCGGGTGGTTTTCAAAATGTGGCTCTCGCCTCAGCGCCGCGCACAGTCATTTCAAAATTTGCAAGAGTTTCACGGAGTGAATGCGGTTAGTTTTCAAAATGTGGTTCTCGCCTTAGCGCCGCGCACGTTCGTTAAAAAATTGCAAGAGCTTCAGGGATGGAGGGCGGGTGGTTTTCAAAATGTGGCTCTCGCGTTAGCGCCGCGCACATTCGTTTAACAAATGCAAGAGCTTCACGGATTGAGGGCAGGTCGTTCTCAGAATGTGGTTCTTGCCTTAGCGCCGCGCACGTTCGTTTTGTAAATTTGCAAGCGCTTCACGGAATCAGGGCGGGCCGTTCTCAAAATGTGCCTCTCGCCTTAGCGCCGAGAACAATCGTTTAAATATTTGCAAGACCTTCACGGATTGAGGGCGGGTCGTTTTCAAAATGTGGCTCTTGCCTTAGCGCCACGCACATTCGTTTTACACATTTACACGAGTTTCACGGATTCCCATGACCAACGTGCCAGAAATGGTGTTTTGGAAGGGTTCAGGATTATGTGGGCGCAACAAGTATGTTGATTAGCGGTGTGGAAGTCCCAACAATGAGTTCTGTCACGATTCCATATCGTCAGGACGCAGCAGTCTGGTTGACCCGTGGCGTGGAGATCCCGAGAAGAATGCTTTGGCATGCTTCGAAGTCTTGAAAGCGGTTGCCTTCCAACGAAGCAGTTCCCTGAATGGAAGTGAACAGCTAGCTATAGGGGCCGATGAAGAGGGAGCTCGGAGAGAGGGTTGATTCCAACGTCGTTGATGACTCTTGGGTTTACACTGGTCCTCCTCCTCCTCCTCCTCCTCCTCCCCCTCCTCCTCCTCTTCCTCCTCCTCCACCCCACCTCCCCCCTGACCCATCCTCCTCCTCCCGCTTTTCCTCCTCCTCCACCTCCCCCTCCCCCGTCCCCTCCCCCTCCTCCCCATCCTCCTGTTCGTGACCCTCCTCGTCTTTGGAAGCGACCCACCCAGTGCCAGCCAGTGGTGCAGGCATGCGGGACGACGTCTGGCCCGCAGGAGCCCCCCCGCCACGCGACGAGGCCCCACCCCCGCGGCACGGGCGCGACTCAAAAAATGTCGGACAGCAGCACCGAGCGACGAACTGGCAGCTTGCGAAGCAAGCGCCGCAGGCTGCAGCCGCAGCCCGTCAAAACAATAGCGGGGCGGGGCCGAACACGATCCCCGGACCCTGCGTCCAGCGACTGGCGACCACTTCTCGGGCGAGTCTGTGCCCAGCGGCCGATTCCCCGCAGAGTGGTCGACCCGCGCCTGGCAGGCGGCCCAGGGATGCGGAACGTGAGGCTAAGCACTGGCTGAGCCAGGGGCCTGGACGAGAAGAGAGTTCGTGCTGTCACCAGTGATGCCCGCCGCACGCAAGGCCTGGAGGGGGGGGCGCTCCAGCTCGGGGACGGTGTGGTCAGTCCATCTAGCATCAACACAAACACGGGGATGCCCAGTGGCACAACCAGACGTCGGGACGACCGCAAGGAGGAGCTCCTCCTCGCACCACCCCCATCCCATCCCAATCCAATATTTTCCCCCTCCACCTCCGTGTGGCCCGAGCCACTGACAGAACAAACCTCCACCCTTCAAGATGAAGGGTGCACGCTCTCTGGGGTCTGTTTTGCCGTCGGCAATCATGGCGGCCGCGCGCCCGCAGGAGCAGTACTGATGCCTCCTGGTCAACTTCGAGCGGTCGGCTTCAACCACTGCGCAGCGTCTCGGTTGTGTAGGTTTGCAGATACTGCAGGTTAGTACCCATATCATGATGTGGCTGTTTTTTGTGGTACGCAACCGAAGAATAGCGGTGACCAGCTTGAGGATTCATTCGCTGTCAACCGATATCGGTGTGATCGGGCTGGGTATCATCGAGGCCCGCTCGTCACCGCCTCGCGTGGCACCACAGTACTTCTAAACAGCAACAGACTCTGGAGACACAGCGCCAAACGCCAAAGATGGCTTGCGAGAAATGGCAACGTCGTCCCTGGGGCCCTGCGCGCTGAAGACCCCAGAGTATGCGTCTAGCTCTAAGACGTTGGCCCCGAAATTCCTCCCCGCCCCTCTGGATCTTGTGGATAAGCGTGTTCGGGGACCGCCCCAACTCCCTCGCCACCATGCACGCCGATGTCTTGCTTGACATGGTTTTGAGACCCGGGGCATCGTCTGATACCCGCTCTTTATGACGGCAGCATCATTTCCATCCTCAACTCCTTCATGGATGAAAAACCTCCCTGGGATCGCTCAACGTAGCGAGGGGCATGTTTCCACTGAGGATCCACCAGAGCATCCTAAAGACGATGACCCCATGAGATGGCTCATGCCAGGCCGCGAAAGATCAAGGCCAGAGCAGAACGAGCCCGGGAATCAAGATACGTTGAAGACCTCGGAGCGTTGGCGGCGACATGCCACGAAAGTCGGCACGAAGCTCAAGCACTTCAGGATACCTGTTCAGCATACGTCGTCGCAATCGACTCATGGAAAAAAACTTGGCGCCACTGATGAGCAAGGAGAACGGTCCTATTTTTCTGATTCGGAAAAGGCCCTTCCTGCGCGTCGAACACCGCGCAGTACCAGGCGCTTGTCGAAAAAGGGAGCCACAGGCGAGAGCGAGCCACGAGTCTTCTCCATCTCCTCCGATGGTTGGCCCTAGTTTTCGAATCAGGATTGAGACAAGTAGCTCGAAGAACGTCGGCGTGTTCGAGATCGGCGAAGTGTCAATGCATGTCGGAGGAAGCTTTGAGGAACTGGAAGCCATGCAGAAGTTGAGCTCGTTGTTCCAGCAGCTCAACGTCTCAATGATGTCTGGCCTGACGGCGCGACGCTCGGAGTCGCTCTGCCAGCCGTGGATTGGCGCCACGCGGCTCAACATATGTTTTAAATGATGAGGCATCGGCTGGCAACGGAATCTGCGCGGTTCACAGTCATCGCATCTCGAGCGCACGCTGCGGCTTCACGCAGCACGCGAATGTTACAAAAGCCCAGGGGGGAGCGGCGGAGACATAGTGGAGGCATCTGATATACCAGCCACTTCCCGTAGACAGTTAGCATATTCCTCTTGCTGGAAAGCTTTTAAGAAGAGGACGCTCATGAGGGAGGGATGGGCCAGCTGCGCGCACTCTCCACCACGAGCAGGGCGTGGTCTGAGATGCTCTTCGAGGGGGCAACCTCAGGGCAGCCAACCACCTGGCCACGAACATTCAGCTGTTTGCAAACCCAGCCAAGGAGGGAGATCATCACCCGATCGATTGTATTCAGGGTTCCAAAACTCTTGTTGTAGTGGGCGGGGCTTGCGGTTCCGATCTCGACCATAGACGCGAGCGCTGGGCGAATGATGGCGTCCCTCGTGGCACGCCATTCCTGCGCAGGGTGCGTCGGGTCTGGACTGCGAACGGCAGCCTGAAGCCTCGGGGCCTTGTCAGCCAGGCGAGAAGTCAGGGAGAGCTGGGAATTGGCGAGACGATCACGAAAAGCAGGGGCGATAAATCGACACCCCCCGACAGAAAGCCAGTGAAGGTGGTAAATAGCAAAGAGACTTACCAAGTATCTTCCGAGATCTTAGCCTGAACTTCTAGAGCCCGACCCTGGGAATGAACAGCACGTTGAACGAAGGGATGGGGATAGGGGGACGGGTCAAACATTGAGAAGAGACCAATAACACCACCGGCTCAGGAACTAAAACAGAAACAAGAAAAAACGGAGAAGGGCGAGTTGGAGTGGTAGAGGAAGCCCCTGAGCTCCGCTCGGGTGCCGCGGGTCACCTGAAGGGCCACAAAGGAAGTAGGGAGCCACAGCGAGGGCACCCTGCGTATCTTGATGGAGATGCAGACCGTCTCGTACTGGAAGAAGTCATGGCGCTCCAGATCACCAGGCGGAAAAGAAGGGCACGATCTGCTGCATCATGCCAGGCGCGCCCCTGGCTTGCACTTGCGACTAATGCCTTCGCTAATGTCAGCTTGGACCACGCCGAAGTGAGCCAGGCTCTCGCTGGAGAAAAGAAATCATGCGTTTAATCTCAGAAGGCAGGTCAATCTGCACGATGGGGCGCCACTGACACGAGACCTCCCCCTTGAGCGTATCACTGGAGAACTGCTGAGAAGGATAGAGGCGTTCGGGTTCACAGCGTGCGTACTTGACTACAAATTCTCGCTTGACCAGGGCCTCGTTCTTGCCAGAGGAAATGATGATTTCCAGTAGTTCGCCACCTTCACCTGGAGCTTGAAGCACTCCCATGGTTTGTTGGGCATTCGCAAAGCGTCCAAAACTTGTTGCGTTTTCCACTGGTGTAGGCACGGCTCCCGTTCATCCGCATGACGTGCTTGGTGGCTGTGGGCTCGCTCTCCATGTCAAACTCACCGTCGTCAAGTTTGGCGCGCTGGAGCCACTGGCAAAGGCTGTTGAGCACGGCGTCCTGGGCGGAGAACAGCTTGGTACGGAAGGTGGAAATGGAATGCTCCACATCGCCCCTCCTCCCCATCATCACCGTCATCCGCATCATCAGCAGCAGCATCATCACCATCAGCATGAACAACATCATGATCATCATCGTCCTGGTCCTCATCCTCATTATCATCATCATCATCATCATCATCATCATCATTATCCCCCGGATGACATACCCCGCTCCGCCTCCTCCTCCTCCTCCTCCTCCTCCTCCTGCTGCTGTCCCTGCCCCCCCCATTGGCACCCGCGCATTCCCTCTCCCCCCTCCCCCCGCGGCAGGCACGGTCACGGGGCCTCCAGGAAGCGCCGCCCGCCCTCCCGGGCCGCGTCCTTGGGGCGCCCTCCTCCTCCTCCTCCTCCTCCTCCTCCTCCTCCTCCTCCCTCCTCCTCTCTCCCTCCTCATCCTCCTCCTCCTCCTCCTCCTCCGCCGCCGCCGCCGCCGCCGCCGCCGCCGCCGCCGCCGCCGCCGCCGCCGCCTCCTCCTCCTCCTCCTCCCTCTCCCCTCCTCCCTCCTCCTCCTCCTCCTCCCTCCTCCTCCTCCTCCTCACCTCCTCCCTCCTCCTCCTCCTCCCCTCCCCCCTCCCCTCCCCCCTCCCCCTCCCCCTCCCTCCTCCTCCTCCCTCCTCCTCTCTCCTCCTCCTCCTCTCCTCCTCCTCCCTCTCCTCCTCCTCCTCCCCTCCTCCTCTCCTCCCTCAGCCTCCTCCTCATCCTCCTCTCCTCCCTCCTCCTCCTCCTCCTCCTCCTCCTCCTCCTCCTCCTCCTCCTCCTCCTCCTCCTCCTTCTCCTCCTCCTCATTCTCCTCCTCCAGAGGAAGAGATACCGATGCTGCTGGTCTTCCTGAAAGGCCCTCGTCGCCACGGCCAGAGTTGCTTCGAGAATATGATCTGAACGCGTCCAGGGACAGGTTCGTCAAGTAGCGGTCTCGGTACTTGCTGGCCTTCCCAGAATGTAGACGAAGGACGAAGATGTATTAACATAAACATCAACTTTTGGAGCTCCGTGCCGAGTCGTAGGATCTGCGCCAGACCCTTCCCTGGCGCGCGGAGCGCGCCAAGAGCGGCGCTGGAGGGGGCCCAGGGGGGCCCGGCGCAGATCCAAGAAGTCCGCGCGGAGCTCCAAAACAAACGTGTATGCCGTGTTTCTTTCTTCGGCGGACAGAACGTGATTTCGACGGCATGTTGTAGGGCATTCTGCTTCGTAGATATTCGACCGCTCCTCTGCAACCTTTCGTCCAAATTACGACCAGAGATCGTTCAAACGTCGACCTAATCTGGCCAAATCCGCCCGAAATCCCCCAAACGGCGAGGACGTTCGGGGCCCTCTGAGGCTCCGATGAAGGGCCACACAGGGAAGTGGGAACATGCTAACATCTTTCTCAAACCCATAGGGTCCAACAAGGACAGAACGTGGCATGGAACGGCATCGGCAGTAATTACCTGAGTTTGTGCGCTCGGCGTGCTGCACCGAAACGCCAGTCGCCCAGTCATCTGTGCCACGAGCTCGCGCGACTTCGCGACTCCGTCGCGTGCAGCTGAGGGGCAACGTGAGGAGGGGGGACTGGCTCTTGGGGGGGAAAGCACCGAGCTGGAATCGGCGATCCACCGCCGCTGGATCGGCGACAGGCCCCCGGCTGCAAATCCGCTCGCTCCTGGGCGGGGTGGGCTGTCGGGCCCCCTCTTGGCGAGCAATGCGCCATGGGTCGATGCGGCCCCCCGCCCAGTCATCCCCCCAAAACGTTGTCCCTTGGTTCTCTGGTCGTACATCGGCTCCCCGGGGGCCGCTCGGGGCAGTCGGGACGCCCCCAGAACGCTCTGGGCGAGGCGCCGCTGCTGGAGAGCACCCCGATGTTGAAAAGCAGCTGAGAATCTGCGAATACGCCCGAAAACCTCGTTCCTCGAACCCCCCCGGCCCATCGCGTTGCCCCGGGGGGATGGCCAGCCGATGCCGCGCGGTGGCGCTCGTGGACGCGCGATCTGCCTCGGGCTGGCGCGGGGGGTGGCCGGCCGGGCCTCGAACTGCTCGCGGAAGGTGGCCAGCGAGAGCGGCTGCCTCGCTGCGTGGGGGAGGGGGGGAGCAGAGGCCAGGGGGGGGGGGGCCAGGGGCAAGTCGGGCGTGTCCCCCTATAGGGGGATTTTCAACGAAAAATGCAAAATACTCAAAAATCCTTCAAGATAATCCCAAAATGCTCACAAAATAGTCCCCATACTATTTTTCAAACTATTTTTGAATCTTCCTCCTGTAGAGGGACGGGCCCAACTTAAAGCCAGGATGCCGGAAGCGCACACATCGGCCGTTGCTGCAGGTGCCTCTGGGCCAAGGGGGCCCCCGGCTCGTCGCTCCATCTTGCAGCCCCCGCTTGGGCCCTCTGGGCCTCGTGAGGGGCACTCCGGAGGCCGCGGAGGCCTCCTTGGCAGTCCTGGGGGGCCAGCTTGGGCCAGTGGGCGCGCCGGGCAGCACCAGACAGGGGGGGGGCGGAGAGCCGTCCGCGCACGCATCACGGGCAGCACCTGCGGAACATCCCGGGGCCCAACGCGGGTGAGCGACGGGAAACAAATCCGACGCACGATGGCATAGCGACCACGCGCAGTGCCTTGCGCGGGCTGCCAGCGCGTCACGCCACCTCGGGGACGAGGGCGCGTCCGCGCCACCCCTTACGCGGGCAGCTTGCGCGCGGACGTCCGCGCAATCGACCCCGTTCTCGGCCCTCGCGTGTGCAGAAGACTACCGTGCCTTGCCATACCGGGTACGATCGCCAGGCTGGGCGTGTCATGTGCATCACCCAGGCTGGCCGCGTCATGTGGAACCAGCTTCTTGGTGGCAAGGGGGAGGAGCCGGAGGAAGGTTTTTGGTCGCAGAGGTGGCGGACGGTCAAAGTGGCCGAAGCGGCGGGTCGGGCTACGGGATCTACACACACACACACACACACCAACTGTGGGAAGTGGGACGCGGAGGTCTACCGGTGCTGGAGACTCCTGGCGGCGCCTCCAGCGCCGCCCCTGGCGCGCGAAGCGCGCCAGCGACAGGGGGGGGGGTCCAGCGCTGGTCCAAAAGATCCGCGGGGACCTCCGAAATACTATGCGTATGCATTATTTTCTTCGGAGGTCGGAAAGGAGTGTGGCATACAGGGGTGTGGTGCCAGTCGTGGAATTGGTGATGTGATCGACGATCGAAAACATCGCTGGATTCAGCATTGGCACCGCACCCCTTTACACCACGTCCCTTTCCTACTGGGGGGACGAAAGGGTAGGATAAGCAAAGGGCAGGGAAAATAACCAGCTCACGTAGCCCATTTTCCTGGCGCCCAGTGGCGCTGGGAGGCGCCCATGTGTCGAAGAAATGCGCCCAGCGGCGGGGCGGAAACCGGCTGCATGCAGCAGATGTCGTAACGCCCACTGTCCATATCCTTGGAAAGTCCAGGGTTCGCTAAGGACTGGTTTCCTTCCAAGGCAGCCGAAACCCTCCCGGAAACCCTCCGGGAAAGGCTCCGGGGGGTCTTCGGAGGGTCTCGGGTTTTCGGCGTTTCGGCAGGAAGCCAGTCCTTAGCGAACCCTGGATTTTCAAACCCTATCCTGCCTACCCTTTCGTCCCGGCCGCCGGCGTCCTCACCTCCTGTGCCTCCTCTTCCTCCGCACGTGATAGGTCGGGCGAATCGCCCTCGGAAGAGCGCACAAGGAGAGGGCTCCCAACTGACATTTCCTTACAATTCACTCACAGACGAAGCTCCCGCCTGATACTTCCTTCCCCCATGCTCAAGCCTCAGGAGCCCAAAAGTGACGACAGTTACGGGGATGAGGATGACCCGCTCGGATTAAAAACATGAAACGCGGACCCCATAACGAGGGGGCTCCCGCCTGTGACTTCCTCACAGTTCACTCACAGACAAGGCTCCCGCCTGATACTTCCCCCATAGCCAGGCCTCAGGAGCCCAAAAGTGACGACAGTTACAAAACAAGGATGAGGATGACCCGCTCGGATTAAAAACATGAAATGCGGGCCCCATAGGGAGGGGGCTCCCGCCTGAGACTTTCACAGTTCACTCACAGACAAGGCTCCCCGCCTGATACTTGCCCCATATTCAAGCCTCGGCAGCCCCAAAGTGACGACAGTTACAGGGATGAGGATGACCAGCTCGGATGAAAACCATTAGCCTGGCGAAAGACCCAACCATACGCAGTTGTGAATACCGCAATTGTGAATACCATCTTCGCCCACGCTTTCTGTGGCCACGGCTTCCCGCCGGAGCCCGACATGCTCAGGGACACGTTCGCGGCCGTCTTCGCGGGCGCCGACGACGACGAGGACGGCGCCCCCAGGGCTCTGTGAGCCATGGGGGAAGCTGCCACTGGCGCCTTTGGTGGAGCTCCCTATGGGGCCACGATCCTCGTGAGGGGTGTGCCGAAATGGCCCGAGGCCGCCATGCGAACCCTGCCGCTGGGGCCTTCGGTGGAGCTCCCTATGGGGCCACGATCCTCGTGATGGGGTGTGCCGAAATGGCCCGAGGCCGCCATGCGAACCCTGCCACTGGCGCATTCGGTGGAGTTCCTATGGGGCCACGATCTTCGTCAGGGGTGTGCCGTAATGGCCCGAGGCCGCCATGCGAACTTTGCCACTGGCGCCTTCGGTGGAGCTCCCTATGGGGCCACGATCCTCGTGAGGGGTGTGCCGAAATGGCCCAGGGCCGCCATGCGAACCCCGTCACTGGGGCCTTCGGTGGAGCTCGGCCACGAACCGTGTGAGGGGTGTGCCAAAATGGGGCGAGGCCGCCATCCGCCCCTGGGACCTTAGGTGGAGCTCCCCATGGGGCCACGAAGCGTGTGAGGGGCGTGCCAAAATGGGGCGGGGATGCCATGCGAGTTTCACCACTGGGACTTTAGGTGGAGCTCCCTATGGGGCCACGAAACGTGTGAAGGGTGTGCCAAAATGGGGAGAGGATGCCATGCGAGCTCCGCCACTGGGACCGTAGGTGAAGCTCCCTATGGGGCCACGATCCTCGTGAGGGGTGTGCCGAAATGGTCCGGGGCCGCCATGCGAGCTCCCCCACTGGGACCTTAGGTGGAGCTCCCTATGGGGCCACGAAACGTGTGAGGGGTGTACAAAAATGGGGCAGGGATGCCATGCGAGCTCCCCAACTGGGACCGTAGGTGGAGCTCCCTGTGGGGCCACGAAACGTGAGGGGTGTACCAAAATGGGGCGGGGATGCCATGCGAGCTCCCCCACTGGGAACTTAGGTGGAGCTGCCTATAGGGCCACGAAACGTGTACCAAAATGGAGCGGGGATGCCATGCGAGCTGCGCCACTGGGACCGTAGTTGGAACTCCCTATGGTGCCGGGTGTGCCGAAACAGAGAGGCATGCGGAGGGCGGACGCAAGGAGGGGGAGGAGGGAGGAGAGGAGGAGGAGGAGGAGGAGGAGGAGGAGGAGGAGGAGGAGGAGGAGGAACGCGGGGACCGTCTGTTCAAAACGAGGACCCAACACCACAGGACGGTTGGGAATTAGGTGCGGGCCCCATAGGGAGAGGGCTCCCGCCTGAGACTTCCTCACAGCCCACGCACGGACGAGGTTCTCGCCTGATACTTCCCCCATGTTCAGGCCTCAGGAGCCCAAAAGTGACGACAGTTACGGGGATGAGGATGACCCGCTCGGATTAAAAACATGAAGTGCGGGCCCCATAGGGAGGGGGCTTCCGCCTGAGACTTCCTCACAGTTCACTCACAGACGAGGCTCCCGCCTGATACTTCCCCCATATTCAAGCTAGCGAATGAGTGGGTGAGTGAGTGAGTGAGTGAATGACTGAATGATGATGATGACGATGACGATGACGATGACGATGACGATGATGATGATGATGATGATGATGATGATGATGATGATGATGATGATGATGATGATGAGTGAAGGGAGTGAGCGGGAGTGAATGAGTGAGTGAGTGAATGAGTGAGTTATGGTGATGATGCTACTGATGTTGATGATGATGTGGTGATGAAGCTACTGATGTTGATGGTAATAAATGTGTGTGTGGGTGATGGCGACATGATGACTGAGTGAATGAGTGATGTTGGTGATGAGTGAGTGAGTGAGTGAGTGAGTGAGTGAGTGAGTGAGTGAGTGAGTGAGTGAGTGAGTGAGTGAGTGAGTGGGTGATGATGTAGTGTGTGTTCTGGTTCCTGCGCGGGGTGTCCAGAGAAAGAAGAGACCCTCTTTGGATGTGGGGAAATTGTCTGGGGACGATGTTTGAAGTATATGCTTTTTGTTGGCTATTCTTGAATATGCGTTGAATCTTTCTTTCCGCCCAAAATCCGCCTGTGGGGGGACATGCCCGACCTAACTCCAGGCCGGCTGCTGCAGTAGCAGAAGTCGGGGTAACAGCTTCGTTTTACGTGTCTGTCTGTCGGCTGCCGCAAGCGGCTTCGCCCGCCTGCACGGAGCCGAGCGGCCTCCCCTTACTTGGGGCCAGTCTCTGGATGCCCAGGGTGCGCTGGCGCTCGCTCGCGCCCCCCTTCAGACCCCCCTTTTCGTCCGACCCGAACCTCGCGCGCGCGCTGCTCGTCCTCGTCGCCGTCGTCGCGGAATCGAGGAGGGGAGGAGGACTCGAGGATGCGAGATTCTGCTCCGGAGTCTGGATGATCGGGCTTGCCTGTTTGGGCCTCCAGAGGGATCTTCGTCGCCAAGCTTGGCTTGCTCTTGAGCTTCTGCTCCAATCCACACCAAACCAACCGATTTGGAAACCCGCCAACGAGGACCTTGCGGAACGCTGGATGTGAGTGCCGTCCCGGCCTCCTGGAAGCGGGAACGTATCCTTGGTCAGCACTCCACGATTCTCTCCCTCGAAATCGCAGAATTTGTGTGACATGGGGCCCGAGGACCTCAACCCCTTCCGCAGGGCCGACTTTCCAACTTGAGTACAAAGGGGCATACGGTATAGCGATCCCAATCCACGATTCTGTGGGTTTTCGATTGGGCAAATTTCAAACACAATCCAGGGATATGCACGAGGAGGGAGTTCATCCTCGATACGGACTCCCCTAAATGGCTCAACATAAATCCCGCCGTATATTGCACAGGACTTGGGAAGATTGACCAGGTCTGAAGCGGGGCCCTGTCACAGGCGAGGCTAGCGTTGGACAGCCAGCTCGACGATCCACGTGCACAGGTAGGTCCCCAGAGCCCTGCGGAAGTCTCCAGACGACCCCCCGAAATCTTCCAGGAAGTCCCAAGGCGCCCCCGCGCGCCTGGACGCTCCCAAACGCCGCTTCCGGCAACAAGGCGACCGATCTCTCCCCAGAGCCTCGATCCTCAAACATTGTTCGGCTACACACGCCCCAATTGGCTGTAGGCGATAATGGCCGCGAAAGCGCGGTCAAATCCAGGCGCGCAAGCCGCTACAACCGCAGAAATAAACATTACGCGAAACCAAAGGCGCAACATTGGAGCACGGTCCAGGCACCAACAACCGCAGGTTGAAAACATGTGTCCGATATTCGCGTACATTTTACATTTTCAGGGGCAGCTGCCGATCCTACCCAGCCTGCAGTCGCGGCCTTTGAATGGCGCAATTTCAACGTTATGGACTATGTTTGCGCTATTTGTTTCCACCCACGGTTTTCAGGCAAGGCTGATCTGGGGGTGGCCGCACGCATCGTATACAAGAAATGGGGCTCACGCCTGTCAACTTTTCTGGTGCATGGCTTTCGAAATGACCTCAAATATCTCGTCGCGCAGTGCCAACGCGAGTACCATTGATCAAATCACAGAACTTGGTGCTAGAGCTAAACTGAATTGGGCCGTCCTGAGCTGAGCCGAACAGGGCCTGGCCGAACCGAAGCGGGCCGCGGCGGTCACCGCCGAAGTGCTCTGACAGAGCATCTCAGCCCGACAAATATACGCCACGGCGGAAGCTGCTGGACTGCCCCACCCCGACCTGGAAGACCCGACGGTGGACTGATCGCGATCGATCCAAACCTGGCCACAAGTGACGGTCTGCAACGTTGCGCTCTCTCCTTCGCGAGCCTGGCTCCGACGAAACGATGGTGGAATCGCCAGGAATGGCTTCCCGGGGCGAGCGACTCTTCCGTCGTAGCTTGGCACTGACGGCACGATGATTGGAGCCACGAAAAGCGATAGGGTTTCAGCATTCCGACTTTACGAATGACGTGTTGGAGCTCCGATGCAGGACTGCCTTACCACAGCGACGTCGATCATAACGATGGAATGCCGTTATGATCGGCGTCATTTTTGTGAGGTCGCGTACGAGACATCCCAAACAGTCATTCGTAATATGGGAAGAACATCCGACACCGTCGTACTTCGAAGCTTCCAGCATCGTTTTGACATAACCAGGCAAGGACCAACAATATCGTGATTAGCGTCCAAGAGCGCCATTCCTGCCAATCCCATCATCTTTTTGTCGTAGTCAGGCTAAGACCATAATGCCCATACCTCGCGATGTCGTCCTCGTTTCGCCTGAGCCATACGAAGACGACAGATATCGTGAAGGACAGGAGGAAAAAGTTCAAAACGAATTCTACACATGCAATGTTTCTCGCTATGAGTTCGGCGGGTCAAATCCAGAACGACGAAGTGGTGCCACTGCGATGGCGCAGCTGAAACTGCAGCTGATGCAGAATACCTCCAGGACGCTTTCTTGTGATCTCATAAACCCCCCCGCTCGATCAGGAGGCCTGCTTTCATGATCAATGAACATCCCGAAGCCGAAATGGGCATGGGTGTTTTGTGGTCGAGGTAGCAAAATGCGCGGCAGGAACTGGCGGCGCTGCAAAGTGCGATGCACCTGCGTCTGGCACAAGCAAATGTGAGGGCGGCAGAGTCACCGACGCACTCCACGAACGACGCTAAGGAGCATAAGTGGATGCCAGCTTGAAGTGCGTCGGCCAGGATGACGGCACGACGCTGTCTATGGCGCCGTGACGAGATGGCTGCCGCTGATGTGAGAAAAAACATTCGTAACATTGGACCGCCGCCCTTCGAAGAAACGGAACACGGCCCAAGCAGCAACACCCGCAGGCTGAAAACATGTGTCTGATGATAGCGTTTACATCTGATATCTTCGAGGGCAGCCGCCGTTCCTGCCCGGGCCGAGAACTCGCGGCCTTTTGAATAGCGAAATTACAACGGTGTGAACTATATTCCCTGGGGAAACCAAAAGGTACTGATACCGCTACTCCCTGGGCATCTCCCGGGGTGCGTTCTGACCAGAATTTCTAGGCGAATCCAACGGTGGCGACGAGGGCCTCCCAAAAGGCCCAAAAATGGGAAAACGGGCCAAGGGTAGAGGTATCGGTACCTTTTCCTCCTCTGATTATCATTCTTTGCTTCCATCCACGGGGTCGCACCGCTCTTAGCGATCGGGAGACCCCGGTGGACCTGCACCCCAGACCGCCGACGCCGTGAATCTTCAACATGGCTGTCAAGAGGTCTGGACCGCCCCTGGAGGCCAAACGTTGTCGAAACCTGCTGCCACGATTGAAGGGGCCCTGGGACGCACAAATAAATAGATACAAATAACAGGATTCCCCATATCTTCCCATATTTTCTGGGTTTTTTTCTTCCTCCCCATTTCCCTTGACTTCCCATACTTTCTAGGAATCGACGATTCATTGTGTCTGTGTGTTTGTCCCTTCCTTAACGTTATGCTCACGATGCGCGGAGGTCAGGGACGAAGGCCACTCAGACAGAGAGCCACGCCTGCGCGCCACCCACCGACCCTTTCGGCGCACGCCCTCCGGGGCCCCCCGGCGGATGCACGACGGAGGCCCCGCCTCCAGGCCACCATGTCCTGGATCCAGCCCGGCACCTGGGCCCGGCGGGGGGCATCGGACCGGCCGAGGGGAGACAAGTCACTCGAGACGTCACTCGAGCACTCCAGGCTCGAGGGTTGGGGCCCATGCGGGGGCGCTGGGGTGGCCGGAGAGGAGCAAGTGTGCGACGTTCCGTCAGACCCAGCGGCCTTCTGGGACCTCACCAACACTTATTTGCTAAATCCACCAGCCTCGGAACTCTGGACCCCTCTCCCGTGGGTAGTTTCGCGCACCAGGCCCATCTTTGATGGTCCTGGAACCCAAACCCGCCCTTGGAGATCGAGATGAAGGGACAACACATCGTCGAAAGTCTGGGTCGGACCTCGGGGAACCTCTGGAGACCCGCCTCGGCCACTCCATGGGCGACGACAGAAGAGGCCTGACGCACGATGGCATCGTGCCCGCATGCTGCGGCTTACGCGGGCCGCCAGCGCGGTACGCTACACTGGAAACGAGGGCGCGCACGCGCGACCTTATACGCGGGCAGCTTGACCCGCGTTCCTGCGCGAGCGTTGCGGATCGCTCCGGAACGGACTCCTCCTCGTCATGGCCCCGCCCGATAACCTCAGGGACGGCGGGGCGGCTTCTGGCACGCCTGGTCGGAACTGCATGCCAGTGGTGTCCAGTGCGGCCGGGGGCCTCGTCCGAGAGGCGGCGCCGTGCAGGACACGTGCTGGACTCGGGCCTCTGCTGGCGCTTGAAGATCTGATGCATGGTGCGCGGCTCTGCGACTACGACGCGTGCTTGATTTGGGGGTTCTCAGAAGGAGGCTGCTTCTTAGAAGGCGCGGGCCTTACATCTACAGCCAAGGCCCGAGCCTTTTAAGAAGCAGGGGTGCTTCGAATAAGCCTTCCCCCTCCCCCTAACCCCCCTCTGTGCGTGGCTGATTGATGGCTGTGCGCGATCATGTGCGTGGCGTGCGCGGTCCTGCACCCGAGAAGTCCGCCTCCCTGCTGCCTCACGCCATGGCAGGGTTTGAAGTTCAGCCGCCCTTGCGGTTGCGCGGCACCGCCCCTGTCGCTCTCGCCCAGCCTGTCTGTGGCGAGGACCTCGCGGCCCAGGCTGCTTTTCCGCTTGACCGAGACTCTCCCGACGGCTGGCGGGGCGGCGGCGGGAAGGTGACGGTGTTCGGGGATACACGCCACTGCCGCTGCAGTACGCCATACCCCGTCCCAGGAAGGTGGACGTGAGCTGTCACTGTGTGGGTCGCGCCTGCTGGAACGGTGTGGGTCGCACGAGCCTGCGAGGCCCCCACAACCCCCCCCCCCGACAGAAGCCACCATGAGGCCCCAAGAAGCCCCCAGGGGGGCCCTGAGAGCCCTTGGTCCACGAGCCAGGCATGCTTCGGGGGCGCGCACCGGCGCGCGGTCGCCGAATCCGTAATCGGGGGAGGTGCCCTCCCCCGAACGCGGCCCGTGCCGCCACGTCTGGCGGGAATCGGGAGGGGCCCGACGCACATCCACGCCCTCTGGGTCCATGTCTGCGATCGCCTGCATGGCGGCGGGATGGGCCGAACGCCACGGCCCGGTCACGCGCCAGGGTGGCCCTATAGGCAGCGGCGCTACCTTCGGGTCGGGTATGTCCCCCTACAGGCGGATTTGGGACGAGAAATATAAAGTACTCAAACAAAGATTCAAACACGGTCAACAACGAAAAACTGAAAACTCGTCACCTGGCGTTTTTGTTGACTATCTTTGAGCACTCCTCCTGTAGGGGGACAGGCCCGACTTAGCGCTGCCTTCGGTGCGCGGCCTGCCGATCGCGCTGCATGTGCTGTGCGCCTCTGCGGCGGCCTCTGCGTGCCCATGCCCTGGCCCCCTCCCGTCCTCCTCCTCCTCCTCCTCCTCCTCCTCCTCTTCTTCTTCTTCTGCTTCTTCTTCTTCTTCTTCCTCCTCCTCCTCCTCCTCCTCCTCCTTTCCTCCTCCTCCTCCTCCTCCTCCTCCTCCTCCTCCTCCTCCTCCAGGCGCAGCTGCGCACCACACAGGGTCGCGCCGACGAAGCCCCCCAGAAGCTGCGCACCACAAGGTCACGCCGACGAAGGGTCACTCGTACCGCCTGGCCGACCTGAGAAGGAACGGTTGGGGGAACTGGCCAATCTCGCGCCCCCCAAGCGCAGCTGCGAACCACGCAAGTTCACGCCCTCGAAGCCCCCCCAGAAGCTGCGTACCGAAAGGTCACGCAGACGAGTGCGCCTACTCTGGGCTTCTTGATGAGCGCGGGGGGGGTACCCCTCCCGACAGGGAGGTACCCCCGACAGGGGGTCAATCTCGCCTCGTCGTCGCGCCGCGACGGGGGTCGGAGCGCCTTCGGAGCGCGGTGGCTGCCCGCGACGGGGGTCGATGCGGGGCTGTCGGCGGGGGTGACGCCCCCCCGACGCTTGCTGAGAAACTCGGAGTGGCCGACCTGAGGAGGAACGGTAGGGGGAACTGGCCCAGAGAGGGGGGACAACGACCTGGAATTGGCGACACATTTCCGACTGGCGCCCCATTGCAAAAAAACGCGAGTTCCTGGGCGGGGTGGGCTATCAGGCCCACGCCAGCGATGAATGGGCAAAGGGGGTTCGATGCATTCCCCCCTTGATCCTGAATCTCCTCCAATGGTCCTTGCCGTCTGGCTTTCGGCTCAGAACTCGGGTCTCCAGCAGCCGTTCGGGACGATCCGGGCCTCCCCAGACGCCTCTCGGCGAGGGCGCAGCCGCTGGGCAGCACCTCGAGGCCGGGAGGCCGCCGAGAAGCAGGGAGAGCACCCGAAAGCCTCCGACGGACCCCGACGTGCGCAAACCTGTTCCCCCGTCAGCCTGTCTACCCCCCGCTGACGCTGCCCCTGACGGGTGGCGGGCCCCGAAGCCCCTGAACCAAAAGGCCTCACCCGTCCCTTGGGGGCCCGACTCTTACTTCGGCCGGCTTCCGCCTGCCTTCCGCCGGCGGAGCCTCTCTGGTTTGACTTCCGCCGCCGCCCGCCGACCTTCCGCCGACAAAAAATGCACACGTCCGAGCGACGCCACGTGTCCACAGGGATGCGATGTCGACCGCCGGTGCGGACCCCGCGCGGCGCCCAGCCGCCGCAGTCCACGCAGCCGACGAACATGACCTCGCGGGCGCGCCGGGCCCGCCGCGGCTGGCACCCGGCGGGGACCTCGTCAAGTGCCCCGTCGGTGGGGGAGGCGGGGCCACGGCGCTGTCCTTAGAGGAAGAAGAACTATGCACATACACCGATTCTGGCCAGGACCATCCTGAGCCCAGGATCGGTGCATACGCCCTCCTACCTTGGCCAGGAAGGCATATGCACCGATCCTGGGTCAAGGATGGGCGCTGTCAGGATCGGTGCATGTGCATAGCTCTCTTCGCCCGGGTCCTTCCGGGTGCACGTGAGCGAGGAAAATAAGCAAACGAACTCTATACACCGACGCTTTTTCCCGACCCGGCGCTGTGAACCTCGCACAGGAGCGCGGGTTCTGGTGTCTACGGGATCCTGGTGTATACGTCTTTCGTTGCTTCCCTCGGAAAACGGGGGAAAAGTATACACCACACCACCCCGACGTCGTCCCCGACCCTTCAAAAGTCGCGGGATTGAAAAACGGCCCGCCCCTGGTCATGCAGATGCTCCAGCTTTCGAGACCAGGGGGAGGGGCCCTACGCAGGGTGGCACGGCGCCTTTCCGCCGCGGCTCACGCGGGCGGTCAGCGCGGCACGCCGCTTTGGAAACGAGGGCCCTCACGCGCGACCCTACCAGAGATCTCCCAGATGGGGTCGGAGCAGATGGGGTCGCAGGATCGCGCCGCATCGCCGAGACATCGGCGATGAATCGGCGATGCATCGGCGATGCACCAGCGACGCATCGTCGACGGGGGCGATGCATCGGCGACGTCGCCGTTGAGCAAATCGGGCTCCACATCGAGCCGCATCGGCGACGCGGCGGCGATGCGGCGCGATCCTCCGACCCCACCTGCTCCGACCCCATCTATCGGGGATGGACAGACCCCCTTTAGTAAAACGTGGTTTAGTGAAAACGACCTGAGGCCCAATCCTGGCGGGCGCAAGCCTGGAAAATGACGGCCACGGCGCCCTCTCGAGAACCGAAAACGGACAATTCACTCGTCGACGTGTCAGGGTCGGGGTTCTGTCCACCCCCGAATCTAGGAGCCCCAGACCTGCGCGGGGAGCTCACGCGCGGCTGGCCGCGCAGTCGAGCTCTCCGCTCTCTGCTTCGCTCCATCCGGGGCTTCACGAGGGCCCCTCGCCGCCACGGCGGGGCGCGGCTCGACAGACGGGCCCGGAGGGGCCCCGGGGAGAGTCCGGGGACCAGTTTTGGGACCAGCTCGGACGTCCGTTCCCTGTGCTTTCTTCGGTTTCGTGCGTGGTTCTTCCCCAAATGATCAAGGATGCTCCTCGATGGTCCTCGCCGAAGGAATAATGCACACGTCCGAGCGATGCCAAGACAAGGTACGGCTACCGCTGCTGCCCAGAACTCTCCCAGGGCGCGTTCTGACCAGGACTTCGAGGCGAAAACAGCGGCGACGACGAGGGCCTCCCAAAAGGACCAGAAAGGGGGGAAGACGAGGGAAGGGCAATCAGCGGTAAGGGTACCTCTTCCTCCTCCGAAGCTTGGAGCAGATGTTGAGCGGCCAGCTTCGGAGACGACAAAATATCCGAACCAGGGTTCTCGCAGAGTGTTGTTTCCCCTTCCTCGTCGCCAAAGCTGCAGCCACCTCGAGGCTTCGGCCAGACCGTCCGCAGCCCAGGACAGCTCTGGGAGCCCGAGATTTCGAGAGCCACGCGAGCGAAAAGGCACCAAAGGGGCCTCACGCAATGAACTCTCAGCGGCCTCACGCGGTGGCTCGCGCAGGACACTCACGTGGCTCAGTGCGTGAGAGATGTGGCGCTTCCGCGCAGCCTTGTGCGGGAAGCTTACCCACAAACGTCCGACCAGTCGACCCCGTGTTCCTGCGTCGCCCAGATGGGGTCCAGAGATCTAACGACATCGCCTATACATGGGCAACTGTGGCGGAATGGAGATAATCAAGCTCTGGATTGCGCCACATCGCCGGTGCGATCCTCCAAACCCATCTACTCTGGCCCCATCTGGGTATCATGGCAGAACCCAGGTCACCGAATTTAGCGGCGCGTGCTACCCAAAACCTGAATATCTTCGCGCTCCCACGTGGCTACCCACCACGCACGCCTCTCTGGGCAGCCCAAAGGATGCCTGAAATGATCCCATGAGGCCAACAGGGCCGCAAGAGCGTGGTTTTGTTAAACGATTCGCGGTATCGGCAATTACCATGGACGCCTCTCACATCACTCCCTACGAGAACGTCACGATCTGCGCCAGCGCCGACTGGGAATCGCTGGAGGCACCTGATTCCCGAATGGCGCCATCGCGAGTCGTGACGTTTCTGGCCCCCTCCCCCCTTCCACGGTAACGACCGTTATCGCGAGAGGATTGAAAGACAGGCTCCAAGATTAGAAGAACAAAGAACACCATAACATAACCTTTTGGCGCTCCGCGCGGATTTCTTGGACCCGCGCTTAACCCCCCTCCCTGGCGCGCGGAGCGCGCCAGGAGCGGCGCTGGAGGCGCCGCCGGGGGGGGCCCAGCGCGGATCCAAGAAATCCGCGCGGAGCGCAAAAAGTGTATGTGTTTTCTTGTTCGAAAGATGACTCCAAGACTGAGACGGTCCCAAGAGAAGATGGCCTGAGAGAGAGGCCAACGAGGAATCTCACAGGGAGCACAGGACCCTCACGCGAAGCAAGAAGAGGGCCACGATGTCGCTAAAGAGGCCCCGCAAAGCGCCATTCGGCCGCAGGGCGACCGAGCGCGCGAGCGCCGATGCCGCTCCGCGCGCGCGCCCGGAGCGCCTCCTGAAGAGGTCGGCGGCGGGGCCGTGGCGGTGACGGGGGGCGGCGGTGGCGGTGGCTCACGAGCATCGCCTTCGAATTCCAAACTGGTACCTAGCAAAATTTGAAGGAACGCCCGCTGAGGCCACGAAGCGGCTACGAGGCAACCATCGTGTCACTGTGCAGTGCTAAGCTCGTCAGAACGAGGCAGCAGCAAGAGATCGCTTTATTCTTCGGCGATGACCAGGGTTATCCGGTGGGGGGTCGAGGCGCCGGCCGATAACCTGACTGTTTCGCTTTTGGGCAGCCTGGCGCATGCCGGCGCGC